CTTTGTTTCATTGTGTTTATTACATATTTTGTTATCCGTTTGTTCTATATTAAATCCACTTATCCATTTGCCATTTTTTGACATCTTGTTCTGTCGCTATTGCTACTCGAAGTCCTCATAGTAAGGTAGGTTGAACATTTTATTAAAAATAAAGATATAAAACTTATAACGATGTGATCGAGAAGTTTCAACGTTGTTCTTTAGCAGCAACTCTGGCCGGTGGGTCCACGATTTCGGCTCCAAACCTTACAGTGTTTGTTTGTTGAGACATTGCTATGTATAATAACATAAGCGTTGAAGTTTTTATTTTTTTCTGATATACTGTTGGATTTCTGAACTTTCGGCTTATAAAATTTTTTTTGAATCTAAAGCACAAGAAAACCAATCTTCTTGTGTTACCACTACGCCACCAACTCTTTGGTTAAGCGTTGAAATTGAATATTTCTCTTCCAACTTATTTGACACTATCGATCCACGAACAATATTATTTTTTTCTTTTTTTTCCTAATAAATCGGACTCACAACTGTTGTTTTTTAGGTACGTGTGTTGGTGTTGTTTATAAGAAAATACTAACTAATAGATATTTAGTATCCCATTTCATGTTATTTGGTCTTACTTTGTTATTTTAACTCATTTGTTTAGTTCAATTGGATTGGCTGTTGACCTTTCAAGATTTCAGAGTTGCGTGTTTGTTTTTCTCATGGGTTGAAACATTGCTGCAAGAAAACAAAATGTGTACATAGAAGCTGTAAAAATATAAAGTTTAGTCCATATATCTATATATATATGTTCAATGTTTTTAGTCAATAAAAACTCTTATTTACTGATATTTGATTTCCATTTAAAAAAATAATAATCTACCGTTAAACCAAAATACGAGACTATCATAGTTGAATTTTATTTTTATCATATTATATACACACTATATGTTTTATCATTTATATATATGCTATATGTTTAAGATAATTTTTCGGTAATTTTTTATATTATTTCTCTGAATATAAATATAAGAGACTTGCATGTTTTTGTTAGTTGTTTAATTGGTTTAGTCAAAGAATGTATAGGTTGCATATATAGAAACCAACTGTTCCTAAAAGAAAATATGAGAGCTTATAAGAAAAATATCAAAGGAGAATAATGGAGAAGGACGATTTCTTGAAGAGTGGTCATGGAAGAGAAGAAAGCCATGAAGAGATGAGAGAACTTGATTCCTCTCACAATGATTCTCATAAAGATTACAACCATATTATAAGATTTAAGGTATCATAATTTTTTTTCTACA